GTTCGCTGCCTTGAGTTATTTATAAAAATAATAAAGGCAGGATAAAAAATCTAAAAAAAAAGACAAGTCTCTTATTTCCAGGAAGGAGCAGGATTTGTCACTCAAAAGATTTCAGAGAAATTAAAATCTCCCATTATATGGGGTCATCCACACACCATCCTTGTGCAACACTGAAATGGCTTGCTTATCATTTTTTGAGCACATTTCCTCGCAATGGAGTCTCCTTCTCAGTTGCAGTTGCCCACTGGGGCTGGTAGCCTGAGCTCATTTTGGTTGGTGTGCCATAAGCGCAATTAAGTGCCAGTTTTATCTCAGCATGTTAACTTGTTCTATGCAAGCTAGGCCCTCTCTTCAAAAATATATATTAAAAAGTTTATGTCATTTACTTGTTGGAATGAGGTACATTCTGCAACTTGTATGTACAAAGACTGAAATGTAAATTTTAATTTTATCACTTTATTTAAGAACCAATTTGTTTTCATAAGACAAATATTCTTCTATGAAGTCTGTATCTAGTGTGCCCAAGAGTAGGTTTTTACTCTAAGACCTTTATGTTTTAAAGGAAGCATTATACCTCAGTTTGCTTTAGCAAACTTTACAGTATTTACTGTTCATTCTGGTTTCATTAGCAGAATGGATTTAGAATTCTAATTATAATGATTTGCTGTAAGAGGAATTAGGAGTATAGGTTTATTGTTTTTTCATTTTAAGCCACAATCATTAGTTGTCACAGAATAGTACTAATCAAGATGAGATGCATGATATTTCTTTTCTTTCTTTATTATGATTTTTAGTAAAGAGTTTTACAGAAATAGAAGGTAAACATGAAAATATATAAAGGAAAGTAAAAAAGAGAAAATGTGTGGAAAGCAATATACTGTAAATAGGAAAGAAAAAAACCCAGAAAGCTAATTAAAGAAGTGACTTCTGATCTTTTTTACAACAGTTACAACTTAGCGTCCTTTCTCCCTCTCTAAAATTAATTACATAATTACATTACCTTCTATTCTATATTCAACCCTTTTTAGTCAACAAATCCAGAAATCACCATTTCATTTCTTTAGCAAAAAGTCCATAAAAGGTTTCCAGTCTTTTAAGAAAGTACTTATTGTTTTATCCCTGATCAAACAGATCAATTTTGCCATTTCTGTGAATTCTGCCATCTTCACAATCCAAACCTCCATTGTGGTGTTTCAGTACATGCAGTCCTTGGGTTAAGAATGCCCAACTTACGGACAACTCATACTTAAGAATGGGGTGCCTATTACTAAAAATGGCAGACAACATTCTCCTTCCTCTAGCTGACGAACCGCTGAAGCCATGCAATGTTTTCTGAACCACTGAAGCTGCATGTTTTTAATATACAGCCTGTTTTCAGCGTTTCATGAAAACATTGCGCAGCTTCAGTTCTTCAGCTCGAGGAAGGAGAATGCTGTCTGCCATTTTTAGTAATAGGCAGCCATTCATAAGTACGAGTTCCAACTTACATACAAATTCAAGTTAAAGACAGACTTAGGAACGGATCTTGTTCTTAACCCGGGACTGCCTATATGGCTTCATTGTTGTGCATATAATAGTCTTGCTGCAGTTACTATATGCAAGACCAATCTTCTGTGAGTCTTTGATAATTGGCTATCCATAAGTCCCAGTAAAAAAGGTTCTGGTTTCATCTGAATATTGAACTTTAAAATTCTTTGTATTATCATATGTATTTTGTATCCAGTATTTTTTTGCTTTTTCACAAGTCCACCATGCATGGTAAAATGTCCATTTTTTCACATTTCCAGTATTGACTGGAAATACCTTTATACATCTTAGATAATTTCTCTGGTTTCATATACCAATGGCACATCATTTTATAAAAATTATCTTAAATTATAACACAGTTCAAAGGATTGAATCTTCAGTCCTTTTAACAACATTCTCTCCCATTGATCCATCTGTATATTATAGCCAAAATTCTTTGCCCATTTTATCACGAACTCTTTAACTTGTTCTTTTTCCGTTTCAAATCCCAACAAAAGTTTATACATTTTAGTAATTGTATGTTCATCATTTGTACATAATTCAATTTCAAATTCCATTTTATGTCATTCAATTCTTGTTATCTTTTTATCTATATTAAATCTTTCTCTTAATTGTTCATATGAAAACAATTGAAAACTAAATTCCTCTGTAGTCAGTTGCTCTCTTGACTTCTATTCCTGTACTAACAAATCTTGATATGTTAACCATTTTTCTTTGCCCGCTGTTTCTTTCCTATAAAATGCTTCTTGTGCTGAACCCAATAAAGGTGTTTGTATCCATTCCATATTCTTAGTATGGGACTTCTAACATAATTTTTTTTTAAATCTACATTAACTTTAATTCAAAAAATATTTTCAGTTATTTACCTTGTGTTGATTTAATTCATTTCACAGAGGTTCTATCTTTTTGTGTGCAAACCACTCCATTCCAGTCTCCCAAGAAGCACTGATTCTCATGTGGCAAGTCTATTAATTTTTCCATAAGTCCTTTAAAAATATAGCTTTATTATCATTTGGGGCATATATTCCCAATATCATAATCTTGATGTCATTCAAATTTCAACTCCTGCATACTGGCCATGATCATCAATCATTATCAGTTTTGATTGTAATTGTGGATTTATGTACAAAATAACTCAATTTTTCTTGCTTGACCCTGCTGGAATAAATTTTTATAAATCAATTTTTTTTTCTTATATGTGTTTCCTGTAGACAAATTACATCTTGTTTTAATGTTTTCAAATAATGAAATAGCTCTCTTATTTTTTGTGGGGTGTTTGTCCCATTTATATTCCATATTAGACATTTAAAATATTTATATTGTAGGTTTATAAAAGTCTATACTTGTAATGCCCAACATAGTAGTCTCTTCCTCAGTTTCTTGGTGTATTTGTTCCATAATTCCTTCCCTTGCATCTCCTCCAATTCTTCAAAGAATCTCTTGCCTTTTGGATTGAATTAAGTTGAAATCTCTGCTGTTTAAAAGTTAAAATCACTCTTCCCAGTTTTTCCCAACAGAATGGTATCTTCTTCTGTTTAAGTTTGTCAGCCAGGAAAGTAGATTCTTTTCTCTTATGCAATATTTTAATGGGCATTTCTTTTAGAAAAGTTACTTCTGAATTACTTATTCTTAGCTTAGTATTAAAATGTTGTAGAACCTGATCTCTTGTCTTCTTCGTGACAAAGTGCACAAGTATATCTTTTGGTCTTTTCTTAATTTTGCATATATTGTATTGATTCTGTACACCTTGTTTACTTCTGCCTCTATATCTTCTTCATCCTATTCCAAACATTTGGTTAAAGATTCCACACCCCTCTCTCTGGTATCTTCACCAGGTTCCTCTGGAACAGCTCTCAGTCTTAAACAAAATTATTTCTCTCTTAATTCCAGTAGTACCACATTATTTAAATCTTTTCCCCTCTCTCAGTTCATTATTTCTGTCTTATTTTCCAAAATTTATATTTTCTCTTTAATTTGATTAACCTATCGACTCATCTGTATTCATATTCTTCAAATTTTTTCTTTATCTTTTCTTCCATATTTGCAAATCTTTTCTCCATTCTCCCTTCAAGTGTAGCCAGATCTCTTTTAACAGATGCAGTCACAGATTCAGTCACTGATGCTGTTATTGATGCTGTAACATTCTTCCCCAGTTCTTCAAACATCCTCTGTAAAATCTCTGGCGTAATCCCTTTTTCTGTTACTTGTTCTGTAAATGATCCTCTCTTCCTCTCTGTAATTTTTGCTGCTTTTCTGGTAGTGGCCATTTTCTTTTTCTTTTTTCTTTTAATTGTAATCCAGAAAGGAAAAGTGAAATATAAAAGAGAACCCCTCTCTCCCTCCCTCTTCCCCTCTCCCCTTAACTCTTTAATCCCTTTCAGCACTTCTTAGTTCTATAGTCATGTGATCTTTCACAACTTCCAGTCTCCTTATCTCTTTGTTTAACAAAATCAGCCAATCATCCTTCTTAGCAAGTTTAAACAACCTTCTTTTCCATGGAGGCATGTATTATTTATTTAATTAATTCCAAAGTACTTTAAAATAAACAATAGTCCAAATTCAATTCTCCTCTTAATCCATTTTAAACTTTCATAGTTCAAACTCTTGGCGGGCTTTTTGTTTTTGATTCTTTTTAAGTCCATATAGTTATTTCTTTACCTTTTACTTTAATCCTGCTTACAGAACAAAGGAACACTCACCAGGTCTTCTGCTGCTTAGAAGATCTCTGTAACTTTTAGAATTTTTTTGTTCCAAACATACACTAGAAAATGGAGTTTTGGGCAAACCAGTGGCCTTTAGCAGGCTCTGCTTGAGGCTGTGAGCTTGGTTTTTTCTCCCGTAGCTCCCCAGAGCTCTACTTGCAAGTGATCTGCAGGGTCCTTCCAGATCCTGCCGGTTTCTCGCAAGGATCTCCCTTCCAAAGCACAAGTGGGTGATCTCATGGCTTCTCCTTATTCAGAGAGCTGGTCTGGGCTCACCGTCTGGATGCAGTGTCCACCTTGGTGTGGTCCCTGCTGTTTGGGGACTTATTAGTCTGCCATTTTCTCCACCCAGAAGTCTATCCCATAATTATATTTATTGTCATGCTGCAATTCTTTCTTGTTTTTCTTTCTTCACAAAAGCTTGGATTGGAAGATATAACAAGATATCCGGACAAAATGAAATTGATTTGGCAGTATGAGGAGACCAAAAAAAGGTAAATATTTTAAGCTGTTATTTTTAACATTACAAATAGTCTGTCAGTAGGTCTTACCTTGGTAGGGGTTTTGCATAAATGTGACTAGATATATACTATAGTTTACTAATCTGAAGAGCCACTGAGTAACTATTCAACTTTGCATATTTAAGATTAGGCAAACTAAATGCTATAAAGAAAAGAAATTATATGCTAATTCCTTGGTTTGCCAAAACTTTTATGTTATAAAGAAAACAATATTAAAGTGATATTATAGATTGCTTTACATTTTGACTACAGCTTTTGAGGTAACAGATCTTGATAGATGAAATAAAGAGCTAACCAAGTTGTACTGAGGAAGTGTAGGAATCACATATTACAAATTGAAAAGCTATATGTAATTGTAATGAATCCTGGACCCACTGTTGCCTGGAGTAGACATCAGTTATGTTTTGTGAGAAGGTTATTCAGTTGGGAATCAGTCCTGTTAATCTCTTATGCATAGTGTATTATGTGAAAAACATGGAGTATCCACAGTGCATATACTATACAGGTAATCTGCACCAAATTGGAAAAAATAATATTCTGAACTTGAAATGAAAGCCTCATTTGTAACAATCCATTTAAATGTTTCAGGAGTTCCCTGGGAAGGAGCAAAAAGGAGTAAATATGTTTTGATTGTTCCAACATAGCAAATTTTCATTCTAGGACTAAAAAAAATAGGTGGATGCTAGATAGCACTTAGCATGGATTACCAGCCAATCTAGTATTGCAACTGTAAGAAGAATAATGAGAAGTCATGTCCTAGGTATCTGCAAATTCATTTTGGAAAACTTCTTGATCACCCCCGGAATAGACAGATGAATGCTGTTGTTGGAAGAATGGAAGGTTCTTGAGTTGCTTGGAATGTTTTGTCTCTGGAAATAGAGAGGTTTTTCACTGTTAAAACTTTTAATAGTTACTTATAGCAGCATACTCCCTGAAATGCCCCATTTTCTTTTGAGCTTGCAACAAACCTTGAAATGTAGTGTGTTTTAGTCCAGGCTTGGAACATTCAAAAGGGCTATTTCAAGCTCAAAATGTTTTCATACCTCTAACCTATGGCAGGTATTACCATGTTCATTCCTTTATAATTACACTGGTAATTTAATACCCATTGAATATTTATACGTGTAATTTGCATCACACGTTTCAGAAGTGCATGTCTAAGCAAAATAATATGTATCACTTAAAATTTCAGTTAATGTTGAAGTGTCAGTTGGACAGGAAATTATACTTTCTGTTAGTTTCCAAAGTCCTTAAGCTAGAAAAATGCTGAACTTTTCATGTGAAATGAACAAAATAGGACCCATCTGAGATATAAGTATGAAAAGTAGACCAAGATTTATCCTAGACAGATTACTACATTTTCCACTAATTTGAAGTAGTAAATATGTGTATATTTTGTAAGCCTGGTGGTGTTTTTCTGTCATGACAGAATCAGTTTATACTTATATTTATACTTATATTTATATTTATATATGTAGAGAGAGAGAGAGTTTTTTCTGTCTGGAAAAAATTATTCATAATTGTAATTTTATATTTATCTCTTTCATCTGTTCACAAATTTTATTCCCACAAATGTGTAGCAAGGTCTTTAAACTTTAAATCAAAGAGCTAAGACACATTTGTTTCTCCTAGGTTATCTCAGTGGCCACATTCTTCATTTATCATGCATTCCTTTCCTTTGGCTTGTTGGCATTCTATACAGCTTTTGTTTCCACAAAGTATTTCTATGTTCAGCCTAACTTTACTCATGAAACCCTACTAAAACAGTGTGGGTGTAGGAATGTGCTGTGTTTGGTCTAAAGCTGAAGTTGACAAAATTAAAGTGTTACAGTACATTAAAAATATTTTAACCAGGCTCCTCATATAGCCAAAGTGGCGAGAGAACCAAGTACATATGTTACCATTTCAGCTGGCATATTCTTACACAAAATATATTTTTGTCTGTGACTACTTTTCACTGGAGAACCTACTTCATTTGGTAGGTTCAAAATATAAGGATGCTTTGTTATCCATTTTAGAGTATAAATGGAATCTAAAAATTATACTTTATCTTAACTCAAAAAATGGAAATAAATCATGAGGGCTCTCTTTCTTATGTCGTAATAATGCAAATGCAAAAATAATATCTAATACATAAAAGGATATACAAAGAAGTAGGCTTAGCAACACTTTTATGGCATGCTCAGATATACAGAAAAGGCTTGAAAACAATAATGCCATAATAATATACACTCAGTGTAGAGAATACTATATTATACCATATAATTCTGCTTGCAAACTTGTGCTTCAAAACTGTTCTAATCCAAGGGAAGAAATAATAACTAGCAATATAGATGGCTTAAATTGTACAAATAAATAGGAAAATATTCACATTTGGCTAGAAAAAATCCACAATATCTATACATTACAGAAAATAATGCTAGAATATTTTATAGAAAATATTAGTAATGTTTCAATTATTTTTTTCTTTTCTAAAACAATGGGCACTCATTTTTACCTAGGTGATACTGTGAAATAAACTTCAAGGTTTGTTGATGTCAACAGAAACTTTCCTTGCTTTACATTAAAAGGTTTTTGGTTGGAAACTGGATAAATATTACAAATAACTCTTGTGATGTGGTGCTTCCTTGACAGAAAATTAAATAAACACAAACATATACATATATGAAAAACGCTCATTTTTATAGCTGTGCATGTTCATTTTTAGCCTTTCATCACTCTAATATCTCCCTCCTTGCTCTCTCCTTCCTTCTGTCTCTTTCTCACTAAAATTAACTTGATAAATGTGCTACTATTTACGATTTTTAATGCCATTTTCAGTTTAATTTTTAATCTATTTGGCCATTTAGATTAAGTTTAATCTTTAATCTATTTGGCCATTTTAAAAATAGAATTTTGTTTTTAAACTATAGAAGAACTGGTGCTTATTTAATGCTTAGCAAAAAACATTGCGCAGCAGATCTCTTTCCCATAGCCATGCTTGCAGATTATTACCATCATGTTTAGGAACTCTCCTTCCTGTCTTTTCTACTGCTGCTTTGGTGCAGCCATAATATCAAAAATTTATGTTCCATTTTGATACAGTTAAGTTTGTACTCTGGCAAACTCTTTGGAGTTAAAAAACAAACAAAAAACACAGAAGTGGAGATTGAGAATAAGGAAATTTCCAGAGGTAATGATATTGATGTGTTCAAGAAGATAACATGGGTGACTCCAATCAAATTCTGAAGATACTCTGTACTTAAACTTGAATCACATGAACTTTCAGTATAGTTAATCATAGGTTTTCAAGCCGTTTATTATGTTATATACGTATTTTATTTTCATCTCAAGGTACTTCAGGTACTGTAACTCCTTCCATATCAAAGGTATATATCTCTGTAGAGATTTTTTGGGCTTTTTTTTGTTGGTACATTAACCTTTCATGTCCCTTTTTAATTAAGGGTTTTCAGAATACAGCAACAGTTGGCTTTACATGATCATGAATCTTGGCCAGGAATGGTAGAGGCTGACAGAGATCATCTTCAGCTTATTAAAGAGAAAGAGGCTCTCTTACAAGAACTGCAGCTTATAAGTCAACAGCAGCGTTCACCAGAAGATCTGGAACACATAGAGGAGGAAAAAAGGCGCTTAGAGAAGGATATCCAGCAGGCTCGGGCTACTTCTTCTCATGGTGCTGCTGAAAGGTTTGATAATGTATTGCTTTTGTTATATGATTGTTAATGCTAGTACAGCTGCTTAATGAAGGCAAGAACATTTAGCAGACTTCAACCCATTCAGAAATTTATGGGCCCCTTCTAGTTGGGTTTCAGGCCCGGGTATGGGATCATTGGTCCCACTTGTGAATGACCTCTGGAGAGAGTAGGATGTGGTAGTACATCTATCCTTCCTCTCGTTCTCTCAGAGGACTTCAATACTATCAACCATGGTATCCTTTTGAACCTGCTCTGAGGATTAAGGGTTGGGGGTACAGTATTATGTGATTCTCCTCTTTCTTCCTAGATCAGAATCAGTTCCAGTCAGTATTAATGGGGGGCAGAGGTTTGCCTTATGGCCTATGGGGTGCCTCAGGACTCGACTTTCTACCTATTCGTGTTTAATCTCTACATGAAACTACTGGTTGAGGTCATTCGATAGTACAGGGTAAAGTATTATCAATACCCTGATGATACTTTGCTAGATACTTTGCTACCACAGATGGCCAGGTGAGGCTGTAGGGGTTCTCTCTCAGGGCCTGGAGGCAGTGGAATCTGGATACGGAATAACAGGCTTAAGCTCAACCCTAGCAAGACAGAGTGGCTTTGAGTGTTAGGGCCTCCTGGATCTGGTGATTTTCCATCCTTAGTTGCATTACCCCAAGGTGGTGGAATAGCAGGTGGCAGTGGTGGCCCACGGGTCTTTGCACAGCTTTGTATTGTGCACCAATTGTTCTGTAATTTTCAATAAAAAGCTAAAGAAAAAAGGTATATTAAGCATTTAGGTAGATTTACTCTACCTTAATCTATCAAAACAAACCAAAAAGTTAAATTCCCCAGAAAATAAAAATGAAAAAAAATGACCCATTTGCTTGATGTCATGATTTCATTCCCTTGGTTGCCAAAACTTATAGTAAAAAAAAAAAAAAAAGGAAGATCCCAGGGCAATCACCGCTCCACTCACTTGTACTTTCCTATAATCTAGTATACTTTATCTGTACATATAATCATTCTATAGTCTAAATGTGTTTCAATGTAATGAACTCACAAAATACAGAGACCTGCAAATAGAAATAAAGCAACTGTGACAAAAGAAAACAAAGATAGTACCAGTAGTAATAGGTGCCTTGGGCCCAATCCCAAAATATCTGGAGTACTACTTGAAAACCATCAGCATTGACAAAATTATCACTCAATTGCAAAAGGCAGATTTACTTGGAACAGCTTACATCCTGCGATGATACCTTTAATATTATTAAACAAAACAAAGTAATATTAAACAATAACATCTGTGTATCCCAGGTCCTTGGGTAGGACTTGATAGGTGGACAGAAATGCCAAATCCAGTCTAAACGTCTGCTGACTCTGCAACCAACCATAATAATTTTGAAGAAAACAAATTTTGGCTACCAAACAGCAAAACCTGCTAATATATATAAAGCATTTGCTTTATATGGATGATCTGAAGCTTTATGGAAAATCAGAAATTGAAATCCAATCATTGACAAATACAGTAAGAATTTAGCACAGATAGAGCAATTGAATTTGGCCTATTGGGGTAAAATCACGAACAGTAATAGAATTGGCCAAACCATCAGGAGCCATCAGGATGAAGCCTACAAGTATCTGAGCATTTTACAGTTGGATAACATCAAGCATGGGCAAGTTAAAAATGTGATCAGTAATGAATACATCCGAAGAGTGAGACAGTTGTTAAAGACAAATTTTAATAATGGAAGCACCATAAAGCCATCAATAGCTGGGCCATACCTGTTACATGACACACTGCTGGAATGATTAACTGCACAAGCTGAACTGGACAGTTTGGACTGAAAAACAAGAAAACTCATGACTATTCATTATGCATTACATCTCGGTAGTGATATTGATAGATTATACCTGCCATGCAGAAATGGAGACAGAAGTTTACTTCGAGTCAAACAAACTGTCAAAGAAGAAAAGCATGCATTGGCTGATTATGTAAAAGACAGTCAAGAACAAGCACTGATGTAAGTTAAAAATTGGAAATTAGTGAATGTACAGGAAACAAAACGTGATTATTGAAATAATGTAATAAAAACACGAACAGAATACTGGCAAGGAAAAGCATTACATGGTCAATTTCTACAAAAGATCGAGGGGAAAGTGGATAAAAATAAAACCTGGCAACGGCTTACAACTGGAACATTTAAAAAAAGAAACTGAAGGCTTTATTTTGGCTGCTCAAGAGCTATTTGAATTACAGGTAGTCCGCAGGTTAAGCACACCCAGGTTACAGATGACCCATAGTTAAGAACGGAGCCTATTGTAGCAAGATTCAAGTTAAATACACAATGACTCAAGATAAATAACAATGGTTCGAGTTCATTACACAATACTACTTATACAGTATTATACAATAATACTGTTCTGGCTTACATACAAATCAAATTTAAGGACAGACTCTGTGAATGGAACTTGTTCTTAAACTGGGGACTACCTGTAATGCAATCAAGGCCAGAATTGAAAAATCATCAAATGATTCAAAATGTAGATTTTGCAAAGGAGCAGAGGAAACAATAGATCATATACTCAGCTCATGCACGAAGATTGCACAGACTGACTATAAACAACATAATACAGTCATCAGAATGATTTACTGGAACATCTGTAAAAATTATCATTTGCCAGTAATGAAAAATTGGTGGGAATATACAGCTGAAAAAGTAGTTGAAAACAAGCAGGTTAAAATATTGTGAGATTTCCAAATACAAACTAATAAAGATTTGGCACATAACACACCAGACTTGACTGTGGTTGAAAAGAAAGTATGGATAATTGATATGGCAATACCAAGGGATAGTAGAATAGAAGACAAAGAATTGGAGAAGATCACAAAGTATCAAGATCTGAAAACCGAAGCTGAAAAATTATGGCATAAAATGGCAGTGGTGATCCTAATGGTTATCTTGGACAGCACTTGAAAATTTTGTCAATGCACAGATTTTCTATCTGTCAATTACAAAAGTTCACACTGCTTGGATCTACATATACTACACTGATACATTATGACATTCTGAGTTTTTGGCAAAACAACTCAGTATGAATAAATAAATAAATAAATAAAGGCTAACACTGGAAGCTGTGATTTCACATTGTTGTGTATAATAACAACAACATGCCTGCATGTATAGTATGTGAAAGTTAAGAAATTAGGAAGCCATTTACAAAAGCCTAAATGAGTTCTTTGCTACATAGTCTAAGTAAGAGGTGTTTTATACAGTAACTGAATTACTTTATTTTAGGATACTGTTACAGGAGAAGAAGAATTGTTTGCTCATGCAGTTGGAAGAAGCAACTCGTTTAAGTTCCTATTTATGCTCACAATTGAAAAGGTTAGTATATTAGAGAAATTGACTGGTATATTAGAAGGAAATCACAATGAGGATGGACCAATGTAATTAATTTTTCATTGTTTCTAAAAATATTCTGGTTTACCTAGGCAGGATGGCGCTTAGGGTTAGACATCTCAGATTGTCCTTTTCTCTCCCTAATCTAACCCTTTTTCCCTCTGAGCTTCAGTGAAAATAGAATATTTTTGTTAGCTTAATATGTATACATTAAAAGGACAGATCATAAAAATGAGGAAAGATATCACTCTTACAGTAGATTTTTACTTATGGAGCATTTGTAGGATCCGAGTACTATGAGTGTTCAAGTATTGTTCAAGTATTTAGTTGAACGATCATAGTACTAACATTGTTCATCTAAAACAAAATAGAACTAAATGTGGATTTTTTGTTGTATTAAGCAAAATAGGATTGGTTCCTTTTTTTCTCCCAATTTATTGCTATAGCAAATAAATTAAACTCTATTTAATTGACCATTTCTTCCAGTTATTTCATCTCTGCTTTTTTTGATAGCTGTTCCTTTATTATTAGATAATTATTTTTAATGTATGTAGACTTTAAATTGTGTTGCATAATAGGACTGTACAAAACGTTAAAAAAAAAGTTTTACCTAGTGTAGTAGCATAAGGAACTGCTCTCCCCCCCCAAGCCCCCCAAAATTGTAAAAGCAGCTGTGGTCTTTAGAATCTGGAAACAGTTTTCAAAGCAGCCCTGGGAGCTTTCCATGGATGAAGCTCCTTTAGCGCTTCAAGGAGGTAGGCTTGGCTAACATTCTTTGCAGAACACATTTCTGAATGCTTTGCCTGAGCTTTCTCCTTTTTAAAATATCTATTTTTGAAAAAACTTCATTCATACATTTCCAGGTTTGTGATGATTTTTCCATGCCAAGGTTTATTGCCTCAGAGCCATACTTTCAGAAATATATTGGCTGTTGAAGTGTGATACTTTCCAGGCTCTGTTCAAAGTTTCTGACATAGTTTACAAATCAGTAGGTGCCTTGTCTTCTGCATTGATCATACCAAAGTCTTTCTCTTGTCTCAGTAACTAATTACTTGCTATAATGAAAAAAAAAAAACTGGTCTCCCTTTTTTTCTTAACGTTTTCCCACTGGGCTGTTTAACTATATTAACTTCTTGCCTGTTACAAACTTACCTCTACCACCTAATGTTTGGAGTCATTCCACAAGAACTATGGTGATTTCAATGGTGTTTGTTGAAAGTAGAGTTTTGTCCACCTCTTCTACATTTATTAGACATTATGGTGGGTAAAGCATTAGAAGGATTTTGTGACATGTGCAGGCATAAGGAAAACATCTCTCCTTGAAATTTTGAAGCAGCCACTTCATTTGGATGGCTCAGTGCATTTATTCCACTGTGACAGATAGTGAAGCTATTGTGACTGCACATACATGTCAAAAAAACATAGGAAGACCTCATAGAAAGAACTATGCTAACCCTTTTGGAGGACATGAATACTTCACTGCTTCAAAGAGGGACATGTGGATCTAGACTTTTTAAACAGTACCATCTAATTATGTAGATTAGAGTAGATGCCAACTTTGTTTTACTCCTTTCATGAAGTGTTTGCTTTAATCCCTTCAGGATAGCACAGCCTCTTGACACAGTCCTGTCAGATGGCTTTTCTCCAATAGCATGAAGAATAAGCTGCTTACCTATCTGTACCTATGGTTTCTTCGAGTGGGCATGTGTGCTTTTGCAAGCCACCCTTGTCCTTCACTACATGTTCTGAGGCACGATTGCCCAGGTTCTGAATGAGTGTAGCCCAACTGAATACCTTAACTACATTTATAAAGTAAAAATCTCAGCCAGAGGGTGTGTGCCATAAATTTGATCTTTGCAGACACAAAGGCATATGTATGAATACATAGACCACCTCAGGTAAGCAACCTATTTCTCTTACAGTAACATTAAGGGAATTTATGAGAAGCTGTTGCTATATGTGTGTGTGACTTGGGAAAAGTATACTTTGCAATTACATGCAGATCCCCTCAATCCAGAATTACAAACCTTGCTTTGATTGTAAGTTGGAACTCTGTTTTGAAGGACAAAGGTCAAATCACAACTACAGGAGATATGAAAGACAAAAGTATGCATGAATTCAAGGCTGTCTAATATAATGCATAAATCAACTGATTTTGAACAGTATTTGGTTCTGTTATTTATAAATGTAACAAGCATTAATCCTTCGTTGTAATTAATTTCTGCTTGTCTGGTTTTATTTTTTCCTGATGTGTTCATTTGATAATAGATATAATAATGAAGGAAACCCATGGAGATTTTTTTTTGCAGAGCCATCATATAGGAGTATATGTTCAGTATTGATTCAGCTAATCATGAGGCAAAAAGTCCATATTTTGAACTTAGTTTCTGAATGCACACTTAATACATATATCTGTTGTATTCCAGCTTATCTGCCAGTTCTTTGACAATATCTTCTGGTAGCAGTCGAGGATCATTGGCATCCAGCCGTGGGTCATTAGCATCCAGCAGAGGCTCTCTTAGTTCTGTTAGTTTCACAGACATCTATGGTCTTCCTCAATATGAGAAATCTGATACTGCTGTTGAATATGGGCATCATATGCGATATGATCCAGTTTCAATTGATTCTCATAACAAAGATGTACAGTATCATGAATCTATTGGATCTCCTGCTAGCAGTAAACAACGAAGATCTTTAGATACTCCCCTGTCCTTGGCATCATTGTCATCAAGGTCATCACTTTCTTCACTATCACCTCCAAGTTCACCCCTGGACACTCCCTTCCTGCCTGCTTCTCGGGATTCTCCATTAGTCCACAGGTCAGAAGGGTATGAAGAAGTATCATACGCAGGTGCCTCAGAAGTACTTCGAGCTCAGGGCTCTGTTTTGGGGGAAGAGAAAGGACAAGAAATGGTGGCATCTAAGGCTACTGAATATTCCACAAGAAATGAAGCAGGGCTGCAAGTTATCAATATTCCAAATTCTGGTGGTAAGTTAATTTTTAGCCGTTTATATTTTGTTTTGCTGAACCTTACAGACACAGTGAATGTATGATTGATAACTCAAAAAAACACTAAAGAATTTCAATTCCAGATATCAGCAGAACTAAATGTATATAGGACAGCTGTCACAAGGCAGACACCAGCTTGTCTAAAAAAATACAGCTAAGTTGTTGCACACTTTTTGCTTTAGAGGAAAAAAGCTGAATGAAAATGTGATCAGTTAGCATTTAGTTTCAGTTGTAAGTAAACATAAATTATTATAGTGAGTTTTAAGGGAAACAAATACAATGTTTTTCTGGCTTGTTACACATTTTTGCCTTTTAATTTGTGGGATTCATATGCTAAAATTCTTCCTCTATTATCTTTGAAACCAAATGGAGAAAAATAGTTCAAGTCCTACTGAAATTATAGGAGAAGTTAGTTGTAATTTGAAATGTGTAAAACATTTTTGCTTTGAACCTTTCATTTGCAATGTTCTGAGCCTGAAAAAAAGACATTTATTCATTCTTTTATTCAGTTTTTATCCCATCACAGTCACTTAACTCTCAGTGTTTACAATGTCACAGTAAAAACAATGGCAGTGTTAAAACAGTGTACAGTTCAAATTGCAAAAACAAAACCAAATAGGAAAGAAAAATAATAAAGATTCAGGAAACGAGGCACGTGAGATGTTACTGAAAGGTTCTTTGAAAAAGCTCCATTTTAAATAACTCCCGAAAAGCTACCATGGGTGGGGCCTATCCCATAGCGTTACACCACTGCGGAGAAACAATACCTTCCAGTTTCAACTTCCTTGATCCACTAAAAAAGGGAGACAAGGTTTTTATGCTCTTAACTGACAGGGATGAATCTGGTTGGAAGAGGCAATTTTGTAGGTATCCAGATGTCAAACTACCTGGCTGGGTGGGGAATTCTGGGAGTTGAAGTCCACACATCTTAAAGTTGCTAAAGTTGAGAAACACTGTTCTGGGCTAACTGAATTTCTGGGTAGTTTTTAAAGGCAGCCCATATAAAACACTTTGCATAATCTGTGTGGGTGGTGATGAGAGCATGAGTTCCTGTTGCTAGGTCTTCTTGCACCAGTTAAGGACATAATTGGGCTTCCCAGTCACCACCTTCATGAGTTGAAAAGGTTCCCCAAATCACCAACCTGCTTCTGGACAGGTAATGTCTGTCAGTCCAAGAATAACATTGGCACTGAAGGAGAACCATCAAGTACTAGCTACTGTGCATGTTTTCTTATTACTATTAACCAACTGGGTTCTGAAACTTCAGCTGCCAAGGTTCACTAGTGATAGTACGGGCTCTAAAGGAATCCTAGTGGATAGAACAACATAGTGTATTTATTCCAACTCCAGTGAAAGCCTTTACCATTTCAAGTGTTCTGACTGTTTCTTGCTCTTATTGTGCCTTGTAAGAATATTGCTTATTTTCAATTTTTTTCCGTCCTAGAGGGGACTATAGTTTGAGAGGAAGGCAGTAGTTGAGCTCATTTCCAAAGGAACCTGCTTTATAGAGTCACTTTAGCTATAAACTGGCCAATTATTTCCATAACTGTAGCATTTCTTTTAGTACAGTTTTTACCAGCTTTGCTGCATTATAATACAGGATTTTATTTTTCAGTGTTATTTGCTAGTGATTTTTATTTATTTATTTTTTTAAAAAATACTGTTTTTTCTTGCGACAGTGCAGGATCATTTTTTAAAAATGAAATATATATACTTGACTGCCTCATGCCCATGTGGTTGGGCTGCTTAGGCATTTCACATTTTCCATTTCCCACATTGCTGGTTTTAATATTTAAAGGTTAGGGAAATAAATGAACAGCACTGTTGTTGCTTTTAAATTTAGTGCACAGACTTTAAAATGGCCGCCATCTAGTGGTGGAATACCAGAAGATATCATTTTCTGAAATAATTCACTTGATTGCCACTTGATCTTTTTTCACAAATAATTATTAAATATTAAGTAATTATGTAAATAAAAGAGAAGTGGGTATCCAAACTTTCACTAAAGTTACTTGTTTGTATTTTTCTGCTCCAGTGTAAAAAGAAAGAATAATTATTAGTAGAAAATTGTTTTCCTTTTTATTTTTAACAATTTTTTTCTATTTTCATATATTTTAAACATGACAAAAATATTGCTATGTATAGAAAGTAAAGTACCATAAATCTGTGTTCTTTTGTTAACAAAAATGGTTGCATTAAAATAATTGGTGCTTATGTTCCAGCAAATAAAGATGTAACTGTACAGTTTGATTAAATCAGTGAGGTTTAGGTGCTTTATTTATTATTTGTATATTATTTGTTTGAGATTTTGTTCCAGAAAGAATGTTTCTCTTGTACTGTAGACTGTTAGCTCTGATTAATAAAGTTTGGAAAATACTGTTGAATCTAATCTTCAACATTCATTTTTTTCCTCTGAGTTGCAGAATTTCAGGTGATTGTTGTTGTTTCTTTAATGAAAATGTCAGATTTGACAAACTGGTTTCACTTTTACTTAAATTATTTTTTTATTTTGTTTCTCATGTGGCACAACAGAAAAAATTGCTGTAAGTGACTCTAGATTTTCTCTTTTCTTCCTGCCTGTAAAGCTCATGTGTATTTGTAGAGTTTTGGTTTTGTTCTGCATGTTTAAAGGTCAGAATACTTTTCATGATTTCATTTAAAAAATTTCTGTGAGTCAATGTTGGTTCCTAGCCACCTTAGAGTTAATAGTGATGTAGGGATAAATTTTGAAATAGAGAGCTGATAGCAATCATTACTGTTTTGTGTTTAAGGATCATCCAAAATTTAGAAACACAGTACAAATACCTAATGACAGCAGTTGTAATATCTAACACAATAGGATTAACTGAAAGGAGTTCTATTTCTTTGCATTTGCAATGTCACAAAATTGAAACAAGATAGCAATATTTCATATTATTTTCTTTAATACTTTAGGTAAACACCAGAATATCACAATAGTAGAAATTGATTTTAAGTATTAAAGCATGCCTCTTATTAAAAGTGTGCAGGAAACACTTTGAAAATAGAGATACAAGAAATCTCATATGGCAAGCAAACAAAATAAGTAAAATTGCATTATAAAAAAATCTCAAGTTGATTATATTTTCTTTCTTACTGTAAGATAAACACAATCTTATATTTAAAAGCCCAGTAATCTGAAGTAATCATATATAATTTATTTATAGAAATAAACCATTTTAATGTATTCCTGATAACATTTAACTGTCCTTGTTAAAATGGGAAGCTAAACAGGGTTCGGTTTGGCTAGTACTTGGATGAGGGACTGCCCAAGAATACTAGTGCTATAGGCTAGACTAGGAAGTCATACATCCTGAAAGAATAACATGAAAAAAATACTTCCTTTGTGTTGTGCAGTTTATCAAAAGTTTGCTTACTGTTTTGATTTGTTACTGATCTTAAAAATACTTTGCAGTTTTTTATGGCATAATTATTTATTTTCATGCAACTTTGAACAACATCATGCACCATGGAAATATTTAAAATTATAACTGGCATATGATGATCTGGTTACAGTAAAAGGGTATAGGTAAAGATGGCTTTAAGAATACATCTGACATAACCATAATTGAATTGAAACAAATGCACATTATATAATTGCTTTCAAATTATATGAGAGTCATGCTTTCGGTGTTTGATTTCACTAGCTGGTCCCTCTTAATGAGCTGCACATGGATAATTGGCATTACTAGCTTGCTTAAAGGTTCTTGTGTCCTTTGTTCTTGGCTGAATGGTTATTGTGCTTTCTGCTCTTATTTCCATTCATTGCCAAACTGAATATAAATCTAAGACAAGCCATGATCTATTTTAGATTTGTTTCTCTAGTTAGTGAGGGGAGAAGTCATAGGCCGATAACACAAGCATAAGCATTAATCTGTCATCAGACACACATAAAGGATTGTTAGTAGGTGTTAGATTGTTAGTAGATTTATATCATCTGAATGTACCCAATTATCCTCTATATACTAGTGGACTATACCCATGTTAAATGGTTAATGGTACACTTTATGAATATATTCTTTATATTTAGCAACATACATTATCTTTTCAGCTTGGAGTTAATTGTATGAACAGTCATGCAAGCATGTGGTCAACTCAGTTAAAATTATTCATATGTAAAATTTAAGTTGGTTTGGATGAGGCTAGTGTGTGCTAAAAGATTTCAATACAAGTATGACACACTTAATATATTTGTATCAGTAAATTGGATGGAATGTTGTTTTTTTGTTCACAGATGTGAAAACAGTTCTAGTCCTCCCTTACGCATGGAAGCTGGCTGGGTGACTTTGGGCTGGTCACTCTCTCTCAGCCCAACTCACCTCACAGGGTTGTTGTTGTGGGAAAATAGGAGGAGGGAGCATTATGTATGCTGCCTTTATGTTGTACAATAAAAATGAGATATAAATCCAATAAATAAGTAAACCTTCAGTGTAACTTGTCTTTGCTGTTTTCCATGTCAATAGCTGTGACCCTACGTGAAGACAGCACTAGAAGATTGGAAAGGAGATCCAGGCGAGTCTCAGCATGTCTGTCCAATTATTCACTGGCTAGTGACAGTGGCGTGTTTGAAGCTTTAAGCAAAAGGTCAGGTTGTACAAATGTGTGTAAATTGGAGTTATACTTAGTTCCCCTTTAAAAGCTTCAAAAATATTTTATGAAGTTCTTTTTATTTTCTACTGGGTAGGATTAATGGCTAATAAAATATTTTAGCAGAGTAGTTTTTTTTTTACCTAGTTCTTAATATTACGTTTGTTGTTAACTGAGCTTAGTAACTGCATACAAATACAAACTCTTCTCTTTTATGCTATTTAAGGGACATTTTGAAATTCATTTTTTGAATAAGTTTAAGTTTTAAAAATGAGCAGAAGTTAAAGAGGGAGAAAAGGAAATAAAGGGAGAAGAGAAAAATAGCAGCTGAAAATTAAAAGCTGCCACTTTATGAGAGAATAAGGAAGCATATTTGGATCCAGAAAGATTTTAGTAATGTTGGTTCTTTTACTTTTAGTCCTGCTATGCTCATGTACTAGCATAAAAACTTTATAGCAAAATACAGTATGATAGACCAGAATGCAACATATTAGTACATAGAATATAAGCAACTTTGCTTTGAATAGAAAATGTAATTTTTTGAAGAGAACCTTGAGGATATTATAAGTAGCTTCAGCTTTTTTACCTGTTTTATCACTGGGAATAGCACATGACCAAATTTTTGAGATTGCTTTTGATGGTTGTCCAGTCTTGCATACCTGGGCATAAACATACTGATTTTGTTTTGTTTTTTGCAGAATAACCATATATTGTTAATCTAGTAAATAAAGTTTAGACATCAGTTTATCATATGCAGGTTTACTGTATATCATAGAATTCAAGAGTTTCTTTGAAATTTAAATTTGATGAACACTTGACACACAATATAGAAAGCAAAGGGTGTGGTATTTTCATACTTATTAGCTAGTATTATTGATGATAGAGTACTAATGTAATACTAAGTTATTAATTTTTAAAATTCTTATATAGAAATGAAGATGTTGAAGAGTCGTTTTATAATGATGGTGTCATTAATGAAGAGCCCAAAATGCAAGTTGGATTTCTGTGAGTATTTTTATGTGCCTTGGTCAGTACTTATTATATGCCAAAATAGCAGCATTCAAGAGCACTTGTAAGTAGTGAATGTACATCTTCTTGGTTATCTTGTCATTAATATTTTAATTTTGTTCAAAAAAAGAGAGTATTAAACTCTAAGAAAATCCGCAGCTAGCACAGAATAGTACATTCAGAATTTATGGCTCATCACATAAATACTACTTTTAAATGGCCAAATTAATCAGTTCCCCAGATTGTGTGAATGGACTACAGTTCCTCCTAAGATCTGCCAGATGTATCGGACGCTTCTGCTAAAATGAAGAGGGGTTTTAAATTAAATCAGTAGTTCTAGGTTGTTATTGTTTTTATTTTAAAGCTATATGTTTCTATCATTTTTACAATAGTATTGCTTATAAATGTACTATATATATCAGTTAAATAAAAACAAAAATATGCCTTATGTACATATTTATAGCTTGTATGTTTGAGAATAGAGTGGCAGTTAATTGGTTATCTTTTTTTTCCAGGCATGACAGCGGAAGTGAATGTCTTCTTGTCCATGTGTTGCAGCTAAAGAATTTTACTGGCTTTGCCATGAAAGAAGGCTGTAAAATGTATGTTGAGATCTGTACATTATTCTAGTACTGTCTTTTTAATCTTATCAAATGTCAAGATACTGTGATTAATTATGTGCCATCAAGTGACTGTATAGATAGATATCCTTCAGGATGATCTGTCTCCAACCTGGCCTTTCAGATCTTCCAACAGTGCCCCCAGAACCATTGTAACAGTCTATCCACCTTGCTGCTTCTCTTCCACTTCTCTTTCTTTCCATTTTCTAACACGATAGACTTCTCCAAAAAGGTGGGTCTTCACATAATGTGTCCAGAGTGGGATAATTGGAGACTGGTCATTTGAGCCTCAGAACTCTGGACTGATTTCTTTGACGATCTATGTGTGTTTTCTTGGCTGCCAATAGTATTCTCAGAAGTCTTCTCCACCTCCAAAGTTCAAAAGCATCAATATTCTTTCTTTCCTGCTTCTTAAAATCCCACAAGTTACAATACATCTGACTTATTTGAATTTGCATATTGGTATTAATAATGTTGATTTAATTTTTGATTGACATTAGTATCTTAGGGGGGAAAGTGATTGAATAAGGCATTTATGTCCAATTTTATGCCTAAACATGAATAAGCAGCTGACAGTCTGATTTAACAACACACCTCTAATTCTAAAGAATTAAATTCAGTAAAATATATAAATCCAAAAATGAAACCATCAAATGATATACAGAAAAAAGCTAAAACATTTTGTACATATCTGAAACTTGAATATAAGACAAAATCTCCAAAATTGCAAAGGCTGTTTATATGTGTTAGCATTCAGTTATACTTCCCTAAAAAGAACTACTTTAAACACTCATAATAGTAATCTGGAATTATCAGCATTCGCATCATATTGACTATCCCAAAAATTGTTGCTTTAGTACATGCAAGAAACAGTGCTGTAATGTGGGGCGTTTAGAAAAATTAAAAGAAAATATATTTACCAATTTCACATATTTTATTGATACTTTTACTACTTGTGAGTTATTCTTTCTTTCAGACACGTGAGAATATACTTACCATCTGTTGAGTCAGGCACAACAACTACATATTGCTCTAAGGCTTTGGAGTTCCAGGCTCCATTAATATTTAATGAAGTATTTCGGATTCCTGTACAGTCTAGTATCTTAAAACTCAAAGCGCTGCAACTTTACATTTGTTCACTTGGTCAGCACCAGCAAGAGGAATTATTGGTAAGAGATTCCTTTTCATGAAATGCTCCAGAATGGTCACAACAACCCATTTCAGACTTGAAACAAAGGTTTCAAACTTAAGATTTTGAGTTATTTTGAGCTGGAAACATTTTGAATTGAAAATGTTTTACATACCCCTCCCAAACTAGTGAAAAATCAAAGCTAATTTATTAGAAGTGGATATAAGATATCATCTGCAGAAATTTGTAGGAAAATGGGACTACTCACAAGGAATGTAACAAGTACTCCTTGAATACTGAAACTAATGTTTTCTATTATAACAAGTAGCTTTGAAATAGAACTGTTTTTTATGATACATTGACACATTTTGCATTGATATGTTCACAGGGCATTGCTCAGATCAGCCTAGCTAACTATGAGAGTTCTAGTGAGATGCAGCTTTGCTGGTATCCTGTTCAGACCTTCATTGGTTCAGATTGTGAACAAAAAAAAGACCAACCTAAGCGTGAAGAAAGTACTTCTCACTCTATTGAAAATAAAAATATAATGAAAATGGTATAGTCATATATAATTTTTCTTGTGTTTCTATGTTTATGTGATACTTGATACTAAAGGAAGATATGTCTGAAATGCTAGATAAATGAGGCAATTGATAAAAAGCTGCATTGGTGAAACTTCTTTATTATCAGTGGAACTGTTTAACTGGCATTGATCTGCTGGTCATGCTAAAAGTGTGAGTATGTTCTGTCTATGCATCCATTTTGAATTGTCTGGTCATGTTTAGGTTATTTTGAAGTGTATGAATCATTCCACACGCTATATATGATATGAATTTAAGAAAATACAGACTGTTCTGGAAACAATGTAGAACAATAAACAGATACAGCAGAAAAGGGTACCTTTGGGAATTCAGTATGAAATGGTACCCTTTAGTTAACAGAATTTCCCAACCAAAGTGTAGAATATATAGTATATTGGCTAATTCTAAGACCCTTTTGTCATTATGAACTCAGTCATTGTTATTGTGCTTTGAAAGTATTAATTCCAGCTCATCTGTTAAATAAAATGAGAATAATTTGATCTGAACTTTCCTTTCTTCTCTAGGATGCTGTGACTGTCCTTTTAGCTAGGACCACAGCTCAGTTGGAAGCTGTGGAGAGAGAGCTTGCAGAGGAGAGAGTAAAATTGGAGTACACAGAAGAGGAAATACTACAGATGGAACAAAAGGAAGATCAAGGGGAAGCAGTGTCAGAGAGGTACCTTTTATAGTCAAAGATGCATACAATAAGAACGTGCAGAGGTTGGAGAGAGGTACCTTTTATAGTCAAAGATGCATACAATAAGAACGTGCAGAGGTTGGAGGGCCATGTATGTCCACCTCTGGTTCCTAATGCTGATTCCGTTTCTGATGCTTTATATTCTAAGCATGAAGAATACTAAGTTGAATCCTAAGTATATTCAGCTAATCACACTATTAATTTTCCCTCATTATTATAGAAGGATTTTAAGCATTTTTAGCTGAAACAGATTTAAAATGTTTTAGCCTTTGTGCTAAAACGTAAGGAATACCCAAACCATGCTCCTTTCTAAACCAAAATGCATTCATGCACATGTTTGAATAAGACTTTAAACACACAATAAATAGTATTCTTTCCCCTCTTCCTCCTCATCTTATTCTTTGTTTACGATTATATTTCTCTGTAGCTGTCTATTTTTTTGTCCTCTTTCAAGTGCTGGGTTTAATTTTAAAACTGTAAATCATCTTTGTTACCCAAAGAAGTCTACTTACCTGACTCTCTCTCCCCAGGTATATTAAGGCTGTGGTTACAAAAGATAAGGCTTTTTCAGTTATGGTGGCCATCAGTTAAACACCTTCCTAAGAAAGACTTATTTATTTTCTGCCTCCAATTGATTAATTGATTTTATTATTTTATATATACATCTTATTTTTTCTTATATATAAATACATGGAGTTTTTTACCCCTTGCTTGCTGATTTTAAATGGTTTGGCTATTCTGTTTTTCTTTAAGTTACTGTATACCATCCAGAACACCAGTTGCTGGATTTTGTAAAATAAATCACATAATCAGTAAAACAATTTAAAATATTTCCTCTGCAGAAGTTGGCAAGCAGAATCCGTTGATAGTGGATGTAGTAATTGCATGCAGTCCAGTCATCACCTGGAGTCCTATTGTGGTGAATCATTGCAGATTCCTGCGTTTGCATCTCAAACAGATCAGTATATTTCTGGAAAAATTCAGGGTCCACCTTTAAAGGCAAGTAAATATAACTACTAGTTTTTCCTAAACCTTTATGGGGCTTGGCCTGGTATTTTTTATTTAAATCATGAATGCTTACTTTCTTCTTTTTAGGAAAGAAAGCATTATGAGTTTGGTTTTTACTATAAGCCATTAATAAACTAATACTTAAAATTGGTCCCCAAAGTAATTGTGCTTTCTTTGCGAAGAAAAGTATTGAGATTTTGATTCTTACTATATAGGTGGATAAGGAGACCAATACAGAAGATCTTTTCCCTGAAGAAATGGTTTTGCCTCATAAAAACAGGCTTGGCCGTCGGTCCCGTGGTTCTGCGTTTGTTCGTAATAATACTATTGTTCGCTCACAGACGTTTTCACCTGGTGCACGAAGTCAGTATGTTTGCCGAGTGAGTAGAAATTTCGTCACAAAAGTCATCTGGAATGCTAAATAATTCTGTCTAAAATTTGTGTCAGTGACTTATCAGTAGAATACATATTTTCAGGACCTTTTTCCCATTAATGAACACAAACCTGGGCTACCTAGGTTTGGCTGGAGAATTCTGGGAGTTGAAGTCTACACATCTTGAAGTTGCCAAGGTTGAGAAACACTGTATTTATGGGGGGCTTTTTTTTTACACTAAGTACATTCTTCTGAAGAGAAGCACAGAACATAATTTAGTTAACAAGTATGTATGTATTTATTAGATTAATATTCATATATTCAGTTGATCAGATATTATTATCATTTGTTTTTGAAAATGTTGTATTTGTATATTCTGTGTATAGAGTGATGAGAATATTTAATTAGGGCGCCCATAGCACAGGCTACATTACAGGTACATTTTGTCTGTTTTTTGCCCATTATGGTCAACTGCCTATACTTACTGCTGCCTTCTGAGGATTTTCACTGATGTCACAAGCATTGCTTATATCTTCCAATATCATTGCCTTGATGATGCAGTTTTTCATGGGAAAGTAATGGCAGGCTGCTTCTGAAAATGCCATTCCTTAATTGTGCTATATATATAGGGCAGAAGTCAGTTTTCCTCAGCTGATCAAGGAAAGGGGTTTCTGCAGATAAGGGAAGATTTAGATATGGGCAAAGTTGCATCTATTTCCAGTTCAATTACTTCATTAATTTTAATTCGTTTTTGGAAAAAATATTGAATTTTTGTTGGTATTAATGAGTCATTAGTAGAAGATGCAAGAATGATAAAACTGAGGTTTACATCAGATTATCTTGAAAGGGAATTGTTTCAAATTAATGTGGGTAACTATAATAAAAGTGTTATCTTTACTACTTTGAATTGTATTAATATTGAATATAATCAGTGTTTCATTTCTTTCTGTCAGCTATATCGTAGTGATAGTGACAGTTCCACTCTGCAAAGAAAGTCACCTTTTATACGGAATACTTTGGAAAGGCGTACACTGCGTTATAAGCAGGTATGGTCAAAATAAATTTATGAACATCACATAAATGCTGAATTTTCACTTTTTCACCACTAAAAATTCTGTTTAATAGGCTGTTGTAATATTATAGATTGTGTTCATGTAGTTAAACAATCCTGTTGCAAGCCATTTTTATGATTATCTAGATGTTGATGTGTTGTATTTGTCTCATGTAACTCCTTTTATTGTTGGTACTGTTCTAACATTTTTCTTATATACTTGACTAGATTTTTCATTACATTTTGTAAATTACCCTGGCACTTAAAAGAAGGCCAGTGTCAATAATAAAAACCACATCTTTTGGTTGAATTGATTATTTTAATATAGATTTGGTAGCTGGATAATGTCTTGATCAGTATTGGCATCAAAAAGATGCGAAGAGTCTATTACCTGCGTAAAGAAGCTAGCCTGGACATCAGGCTGGGGAAGGCAAGCCATATACAAAGCCACAATTGAAGAACCATACTGCAGCTCTTTAATACTTCTGGTAATGTCAGTGTTTCTTACAGAATTCATTTGGCAATTTAACTGGGATTGTGTCAGTGCAACTGTAAGTACAGAAGCAAACTAAGGAGGAAAGGGAAGAATTAAATTCTGGTGGAAAGAATATGTGCCAGCCCCTAATTGTGCAAACATGGTTTGAAAGTAGTCCTATTTCACTTGCAGTGGACCAATTTCTGCTTCAGTGCAACTGAACCAATTTTTTACTGCAATTTTTGCTCACCTGTCACCATTTTGTAAGAGTTATATACCTGTGAAATTGGTTAGAGCCTTGTAGTTCTTTCTAAGAACATTAGAGACTTACTGCCATAATTTTTATGTTATTACAGCATTCATGTAGATCATCTTTGGCTGATCTTATGGAAAGGACTTCACTAGACCTGGAGCTGGATCTTCAGGCATCAAGAACAAGGCAGAGACAATTAAATGAGGAGTTAACTATTTTAAGAGAGTTGCGGCAGCGCCTGGAGGATGCCCAGCTTAGTGGTCAAACTGATCTGCCTCCCTGGGTCATTCGTGATGAACGATTCCGAAACTTGCTGAAGGAGGCAGAAAGGCAGGTATGGAATCATGGAATCTTCTAAACATTTAGTACAGCTTGTTACATGGTTCGTACAGCAATGAGATACAGAACTGAGATTGTAATGTTTATTTTTTTAAATATTTAGGAATTATTGCAGAGCAAATATAAATAATAATTTAACAGCTTGAAACAATGCTCTTGTATTAAACTAGGGAAAGACAGGACTTAAGTTGGTTAGGCAAACTTTTACTTCTAAAGGAATTTTATTTAGACCCCCCCCCCCAATATGAAGTAGGACATTCTCTTTAAGAAGCTGAAATCCTATTTCAGTTTGGCTCTAAACTCAATCATTCATGCCTGTTAGCTAGGTCTACTGGTGTGGCAGACACTAGAAATAGGATTAAAGAACAAACTGTCCTTGGAATATGTGGAAAACTGCTCCTGCATTACAAAGAAAGAGAAAATAAAGTCAGTGTCAAACTGCATAAGCACTTACATTGAAGTGGTCACATAAAAATCTGTTTATGCTAGTCTGCGCATCTTGAAAGCCAGTATTTTTGTAAATCCTGTATGTGTAGTCAACTGAGAACTGTTTTCTCCATTTTCACTGATAGAGTTTCTCAAAAAGCAGAATGCTTATATTGGTATATTGCAAGAGCCTACAGATTACAGTTACAATCTCCCTACCTTTTAGAATAGTCACATTTCTTCTGCCCTGTGCTCAGATGCTTAAAAAATCATGTGGAGTATTTAGAAGTCCATTTGGATGAATAATTCTTTTCTGGTAATATAAGATATTCTTTCTGTTTGAGAGGCTAGATTTACACCTAACAATGTATACATTTCAGATCCCTACTAAAAGCCTAAATAGAGATTTGTATCAAAATGATTACAGGATAGCTAAATTTATGTTACATTATTTTGGCTTCAGAAGTCTTGTAGTAGCAGTTTCATGCAGCGAAGTATCCTTACTATTATGTAGTAACCATGCTTGTCTTAAATATAGCTTTTGACAGTGAGTATAATTTAATCATAACAGAGATCTACTAGCAAAAAAAGAGAGACAGATATTGAGTTTTCCATTGATATATGGGCTGATAGGAGTTTAGGCCCATAGGATCCAAATTAGAAAAAGTTGATATTAGGAAAGGTGCTATTAGAGAAATTGCTGATTTTTGTCCAGTACTGCCCACTCTTACTGTGCTTTCACACTGCTGTCTTCTTTCTATTTATGTTAAGCTGAGTTAGTGCTCATTTATTTATTTATTAAATTTAGAAGGCCACCCGGCCACATAAGACCCTATGTGGTATATACAACATTAAAAATAATAACAGCAATAAAAACAAAGTAACAATGTATGTCCAAAAAACCCCATTTCCTGCTCATCAGTAAAATCCTATTGACATCTATTCTAACACAAGGCCTGGGTAAAAAGCTAGGCTTTCAAAGATTAATTAAACATTGTCTGAGTGGGAGCCATATGGATCTTGGGGGGTGGAAGGATGCTGTTCTGGAGAGTAGGCACTGCAGCAGAAAAGTTGCAGTAGATAACATTGTCCAGTAGGTAGGACCCAAAGCATGCCCCATTCTACCCAATCACGCAGGATGGGCAGAAACAATCAATGACAGAGGCTAACCAGACATACGCCTTGAAGGGCTTTATAGGTGATAACCATCACTTTGAGTGGCATGCGTTCTTATGTGCAAAGAACAACTGTCTCATCCAGCTGTTACTCACCTGAAGATACAGGCTCAGAAGGGAAGGATATTTTACTCCATTTTTTAAATAAATGGGAAAAGTAACTACTGAATGTCATAAACCCACTGAAAAAAGTAAGTCCACTAATCTTGACTTGTTTCAAGTTGACATTGAATCTAGAAAATTTGGAGGTACTGTTGGTGTGAAAAGTGTAACTTGGGGTTTGAATTGAAGCTGGCTTTGGTTGAGGTTGCACTCCCCCAGAAAGAGCAGTTTACAGTTTGGGAATGTTCCAGGAACCCCCAGCTATCACTGAATTTGCATGTGGCAGCTGTGTTTCAAATTGCATTTGCGTGACTATAGCTAGTGCACCAAACATGATCCTTCCTCAACCAGTCTGACCTAGCCATGGTTATAGTCATCTTGTTTTGCAACATACTTTACCTGATACTGTACTTTCAAAATGTCTGAAATAGTACAAGGTAACAATGGGCATGGTACAGGGATCACATGATGCTTGTACTGAAAGATATGCATTTGTCATCAGTAGCTTACTGAGAAAAATGTAAGGTGCTGGTGTTGACCTACAAACCCCATAGCAACTTAGATCTTTATTATTTGAGGGACTGCTGCTCCTGCTATGAACCAGCCTGGTTATTTAGACCAGCAGGAGAAGCTGATATCACTACTGTCGGAAGCCATCTTGAAAGCTTCTCTGTGTAAATCCCAGGCTACAGACTGCACTCTGTAAGGAAAATGACAAAAAATAGCCCTCTTTTGCCAATGCTTGTACAGTGGGGCAAAAAAGTATTTAGTCAGCCACCAATTGTGCAAGTTCTCCCACTTAAAAAGATGAGAGAGGCC